CCCCCCCAAATTTCGGGAATTTTCCAATTTTCGGGGTTCACCGGTAGCCCTGGTAGCCGTAGTAGTTCCTGTAGTACCGGTCTCTGTCCTGGTAGTAATTCTGCCACTGGGGGAGGGGAAACTGGTTAAACTGGGCAAACTGGGAGCTGAAATCCCACCCCGAAAAATCCCCAAAAAATCCCGGGTGGGTTAACCCAAAAATCCCCAAATTTTAACTCAAAAATCCCCAAGTTTTAACTCAAAAAAAGTGAATTTTAACCCAAAAATCCCCAAATTTTAACTCAAAAATCCCCAAGTTTTAACTCAAAAAAAGTGAATTTTAACCCGAAAATCCCCAAATTTTAACTCAAAAATCCCCAAATTTTAACTCAAAAATCCAAAAATCTTAACTCAAAAATCCCCAAGTTTTAACTCAAAATCCCCAAGTTTTAACTCAAAAATAGCGAATTTTAACTCAAAAGTATGTGGATTTTTAACTAAAAAATCCAAATTCCACTGAAAAAATCCCCGCATTTCAACTCAAAATCCACCCCAAAAATCCCCAAATTCCACCCCCAAAAATCCTCAAATTTCAACCCCAAAAATCCCCAAATTCCACCCCCAAAAATCCTCAAATTTCAACCCCAAAAATCCCCAATTTTCATCCCAAAAAAATCCCCACATTTCACTCCAAAAATCCACCCCCAAAATCCCCAAATTCCACCCCAAAGTTCCCGTTAGATTCGTTCATTTCTGGGGTTTCCAACCTGGAGTGACCCCGGCCTAAATCCCGGTTTAACACTGATTTAACCCCAGTTTAATCATGGTATCAATCCCAGTTTAACCCCAGTTTAACCCCGGTGTAAATCCCAGTTTAACCCCAGTTTAACCCTGGTCTAAATCCCAGTTTAAGTCTGGCTTAAATCCCAGTTTAACACTGATTTAACCCCAGTTTAATCATGGTATCAATCCCAGTTTAACCCCAGTTTAACCCCGGTGTAAATCCCAGTTTAACCCCAGTTTAACCCTGGTCTAAATCCCAGTTTAAGTCTGGCTTAAATCCCAGTTTAACACTGATTTAACCCCAGTTTAACCAGGGTATCAATCCCAGTTTAACCCCAGTTTAACCATGGTATCAATCCCAGTTTAACCCCAGTTTAAGCGTGGTCTAACTCCCAGTTTAACCCCAGTTTAACACTGATTTAACTCCAGCTCAACCCTGCTGCAGATCGGCCAGGAAAATGCCCAAAAAATGCCCCAAAAATGCCCAAAAAATGCCCATAACTGGCCAGGAAATGCCCGGAGTGACCCCAGAAATGCCCAGGAATTGGCCAGGAGCAGCAGGACGTGGGAAATGCCTCAGAAATGCCCCAAAAATACCCAAAAAATGCCCAAAAAAATACCCAAACTGGCCAGGAAATGCCCCAGGAAGCAGCAGGATGTGGGAAGTGCCCCGGAAATGCCCAAAAAATGCCCAGAACTGGCCAGGAAATGCCCTGAGTGACCCCAGAAATGCCCCAGGAAGCAGCAGGAAGTGGGAAGTGCCCCAGAAATGCCCTGGAAATGCCCAAAAAATATCCAAAAAATGCCCAAAACCGGCCAGGAAATGCCCCAAAAATGCCCCAGGAAATGCCCCAGAAGGTTCCGGAAGGCCCCGGAAGGTTCCGGAAGGCCCCGCAGGGCCCCGCGGGCGCTCACCCCGCGGTTGCCCGGCTGGCCCCAGTACTGCGGCTGCTGCTGGCCCCCGTAGACGCGGCTGTCGTAGCCCCGGCGCTGCCCCCCCACTGCGGCAACAGGAACGGGAACGGGACCCGTCAGAACCGGGACGGGGACGGGAATGGGAACGGGACCCGTCAGAACCGGGACGGGGACGGGGACGGGAACGGGGACGGGAACGGGAATGGGAACGGATCAGGGATGGGAATGGGAACGGGGACGGGGACGGATCAGAAACGGGACGGGAATGGGAACGGGGATGGGAACGGGGACGGGTCAGAACCAGGACGGGAACGGGAACGGGGACGGGGACGGGTCAGAAAGGGAACGGGGACAGGTCAGAAACGGGACCGGAACGGGAACGGGGACGGGAACGGGAATGGATCAGAGGCCAGGAAAATGCCCAAAAAATGCCCCAAAAATGCCCAAAAAATGCCCATAACTGGCCAGGAAATGCCCGGAGTGACCCCAGAAATGCCCAGGAATTGGCCAGGAGCAGCAGGACGTGGGAAATGCCTCAGAAATGCCCCAAAAATACCCAAAAAATGCCCAAAAAAATACCCAAACTGGCCAGGAAACGCCCCAGGAAGCAGCAGGATGTGGGAAGTGCCCCGGAAATGCCCAAAAAATGCCCAGAACTGGCCAGGAAATGCCCTGAGTGACCCCAGAAATGCCCCAGGAAGCAGCAGGAAGTGGGAAGTGCCCCAGAAATGCCCTGGAAATGCCCAAAAAATATCCAAAAAATGCCCAAAACCGGCCAGGAAATGCCCCAAAAATGCCCCAGGAAATGCCCCAGAAGGTTCCGGAAGGCCCCGGAAGGTTCCGGAAGGCCCCGCAGGGCCCCGCGGGCGCTCACCCCGCGGTTGCCCGGCTGGCCCCAGTACTGCGGCTGCTGCTGGCCCCCGTAGACGCGGCTGTCGTAGCCCCGGCGCTGCCCCCCCACTGCGGCAACAGGAACGGGAACGGGACCCGTCAGAACCGGGACGGGGACGGGAATGGGAACGGGACCCGTCAGAACCGGGACGGGGACGGGAATGGGAACGGGACCCGTCAGAACCGGGACGGGGACGGGGACGGGAACGGGGACGGGAACGGGAATGGGAACGGATCAGGGATGGGAATGGGAACGGGGACGGGGACGGATCAGAAACGGGACGGGAATGGGAACGGGGATGGGAACGGGGACGGGTCAGAACCAGGACGGGAACGGGAACGGGGACGGGGACGGGTCAGAAAGGGAACGGGGACAGGTCAGAAACGGGACCGGAACGGGAACGGGGACGGGAACGGGAATGGATCAGAATGGGAATGGGAATGGGAACGGGGACGGGAATGGGGACGGGTCAGAACGGGAACGGCAACGGGGACCCATCAGAAACGGGAAGGGGAACAGGGATGGGAATGGGGACAGGAATGGATCAGAACTGGGAACGGGAACGGGGACAGGAACGGGATCAGGAATAGGAATGGGAATGGGAACGGATTGGGAACAGGAATGGGAACGGATCAGGATCGTGAATGGGAACAGATCAGTGATGGGAATGGGAATGGATATGGATCAGGAACAGGAACGGATCAGAAACAGGAATTAGCCCCAAATCCCGCGGAGATCCCACCCAAAACCCCTCAAATCCAGCCCCAAACCCCTCAAATCCAGCCCCAAACCCCATCCCAAACCCAGCCCCAAACCCAACCCAAACCCAGCCCCAAACCCCATCTGGAATCCCCCAGAAGGTTCCGGAAGGCCCCGGAAGGTTCCGGAAGGCCCCGCAGGGCCCCGCGGGCGCTCACCCCGCGGTTGCCCGGCTGGCCCCAGTACTGCGGCTGCTGCTGGCCCCCGTAGACGCGGCTGTCGTAGCCCCGGCGCTGCCCCCCCACTGCGGCAACAGGAACGGGAACGGGACCCGTCAGAACCGGGAACGGGGACGGGGACGGGAACAGGAATGAGAACAGGAACCCATCAGAACGGGAACGGGAGTGGGAATGGGATCAGGAATGGGAACGGATCAGGAAGGGGAAGGGATCGGGAACAGATCAGGAACAGGAATTAGCCCCAAATCCCACGGAGATCCCGCCCAAAACCCCTCAAATCCAGCCCAAACCCAACCCAAACCCAGCCCCAAACCCAACCCAAACCCAGCCCCAAACCCCAACCCAAACCCATCCCAAACCCATCCCAAACCCATCCCAAACCCCATCTGGAATCCCCTCCCAAACCCGTCCCCATCTCCACCCACATCCCGATTTCCTCTCCCATATTTCCCAATTCCATTCCCCCTCCATATCCCGGTTTTCCCTCCCTACATCCCATTTTTACCCCGTTTTTATACAATTTTACCCCATTTTCCCCCGTTTTTCCCCATTTCCCCCCTGACCGTAGCCCTGGCCGCGGTTGCGGTTCTGCCGGTTGCGCTTGTTGCGGCAGTTCCCAGATCCCTTTTTATCCCATTTTTATCCCATTTTAACCCCATTTTTTCCCGTTTTTTCCCCATTTTAACCCCGTTTTATCCCATTTTTCCCCATTTTCCCCCGTTTTTTCCCATTTTCCCCCCGTTTTTCCCCGTTCCTGCCCCTGACCGTAGCCCTGGCCGCGGTTGCGGTTCTGCCGGTTGCGCTTGTTGCGGTTGTTGCGGCGGTTGCCAGATCCCATTTTATCCCATTTTCACCCCATTTTTTCCCCATTTTTTCCCATTTTAACCCCGTTTTATCCCATTTTTACCCCGTTTTATCCCATTTTTACCCCGTTTTCCCCCATTTTATCCCATTTTAACCCCGTTTTTTCCCATTTTTCCCCGTTCCTGCCCCTGACCGTAGCCCTGGCCGCGGTTGCGGTTCTGCCGGTTGCGCTTGTTGCGGTTGTTGTGGTGGTTGCCAGATCCCATTTTTACCCTGTTTTATCCCATTTTAACCCCATTTTTACCCATTTTTACCCTGTTTTATCCCATTTTAACCCCATTTTTTCCCATTTTCCCCCCGTTTTTCCCCATTTCCCCCCTGACCGTAGCCCTGGGCGCGGTTGCGGTTCTGCCGGTTGCGCTTGTTGCGGCAGTTCCCAGATCCCTTTTTATCCCATTTTTATCCCATTTTAACCCCATTTTTTCCCGTTTTTTCCCCATTTTAACCCCGTTTTATCCCATTTTTCCCCATTTTCCCCCGTTTTTTCCCATTTTCCCCCCGTTTTTCCCCATTTCCCCCCTGACCGTAGCCCTGGCCGCGGGTGCGGTTCTGCCGGTTGCGCTTGTTGCGGTTGTTGCGGCGGGTGCCAGATCCCATTTTTACCCCGTTTTATCCCATTTTTCCCCATTTTCCCCCGTTTTTTCCCATTTTCCCCCCGTTTTTCCCCATTTCCCCCCTGACCGTAGCCCTGGCCGCGGGTGCGGTTCTGCCGGTTGCGCTTGTTGCGGTTGTTGCGGCGGGTGCCAGATCCCATTTTTCCCCTGTTTTATCCCATTTTAACCCCATTTTTTCCCATTTTTACCCGGTTTTATCCCATTTTTTCCCCGTTTTTCCCCATTTTTTCCCATTTCCCCCCCATTTTTCCCCGTTCCTGCCCCTGACCGTAGCCCTGGCCGCGGTTGCGGTTCTGCCGGTTGCGCTTGTTGCGGTTGTTGCGGCGGTTGCCAGATCCCATTTTTACCCTGTTTTTCCCCATTTTAACCCCATTTTTTCCCCGTTTTTCCCCATTTTTTCCCATTTTCCCCCCGTTTTTCCCCGTTCCTGCCCCTGACCGTAGCCCTGGCCGCGGTTGCGGTTCTGCCGGTTGCGCTTGTTGCGGCAGTTCCCAGATCCCTTTTTATCCCATTTTTATCCCATTTTAACCCCATTTTTTCCCGTTTTTTCCCCATTTTAACCCCGTTTTATCCCATTTTTCCCCATTTTCCCCCGTTTTTTCCCATTTTCCCCCCGTTTTTCCCCGTTCCTGCCCCTGACCGTAGCCCTGGCCGCGGTTGCGGTTCTGCCGGTTGGGCTTGTTGCGGTTGTTGCGGCGGTTGCCAGATCCCATTTTTACCCCGTTTTATCCCATTTTTACCCCGTTTTCCCCCATTTTATCCCATTTTAACCCCGTTTTTTCCCATTTTTCCCCGTTCCTGCCCCTGACCGTAGCCCTGGCCGCGGTTGCGGTTCTGCCGGTTGCGCTTGTTGCGGTTGTTGCGGCGGTTGCCAGATCCCATTTTTACCCTGTTTTTCCCCATTTTAACCCCATTTTTTCCCCGTTTTTCCCCATTTTTTCCCATTTTCCCCCCGTTTTTCCCCGTTCCTGCCCCTGACCGTAGCCCTGGCCGCGGTTGCGGTTCTGCCGGTTGCGCTTGTTGCGGTTGTTGCGGCGGTTGCCGCGCTTCTCCGAGGGCGGCAGCTGCTTCCGCGCCTCCTCCTTCCAGCGCAGCACCAGCGGCGCCGCCTCGTCCCGGCCCAGCTCCCCGAACAGAACCTCGTCCACGTACTCGCTCTTCTCCGGGATCGAGTAGTTGGCTGCAAACGGGGAAAAAGGGGAAATTTGGGTCGGAATCGGGGGAAATGAGGGATTTCATGGGGAAATCAGCACTGCCCGGGGGTTTCCCCCTCGTTTCCCACGGATTTCCCTCATTTCTTCCCTCATCTTCCTGGGATTCCCCCCCTCATTCCCCATGGATTTCCCCCCCATTTTCTGCTCATTCCCCATGGATTTTCCCCCATTCTTCCCTTCATTTCCCAGGCATTTTCCCCCTGTTTTCTCTCATTTTTTGCTCATTTCTCAGGGATTTCCCCCCCATTTTTTGCCCGTTTCTCAGGGATTTTTCCCATTTTTTTCCCATTTCCCCAGGATTTCCCCCCATTTTTTCCTCCCACCTTTCATCTCCAGCATGACGGACTCGGGCACGTCGTTGCCCTCGGCCTGGTGCCACTCATTCCCCAGGGATTTCCCCCCGTTTTTTCCCATTTTTTTCCCATTTTTTCCCAATTCCCCGGGATTTCCCCCCGTTTTTTCCCATTTTCCCCCTGTTTTTTCCCATTTTTTTCCCATTTTTTCCCAATTCCCCGGGATTTCCCCCCGTTTTTTCCCATTTTCCCCCTGTTTTTTCCCATTTTTTTCCCATTTTTTCCCAATTCCCCGGGATTTCCCCCCGTTTTTTCCCATTTTCCCCCTGTTTTTTCCCATTTTTTTCCCATTTTTTCCCAATTCCCCGGGATTTCCCCCCGTTTTTTCCCATTTTCCCCCTGTTTTTTCCCATTTTTTTCCCATTTTTTCCCAATTCCCCGGGATTTCCCCCCGTTTTTTCCCATTTTCCCTCCGTTTTTTCCCATTTTTTCCCATTTCCCCGGGATTTTCCCCCATTTTTTCCCCCCACCTTTCATCTCGAGCATGACGGACTCGGGCACGTCGTCGCCCTCGGCCTGGCGCCGCTCATTCCCCAGGGATTTCCCCCCGTTTTTTCCCATTTTCCCCTGTTTTTTCCCATTTTTTCCCATTTCCCCGGGATTTTCCCCCATTTTTTCCCCCCACCTTTCATCTCGAGCATGACGGACTCGGGCACGTCGTCGCCCTCGGCCTGGCGCCGCTCATTCCCCAGGGATTTTCCCATTTCCCAGGGATTTTCCCCATTTTTTGCCCGTTTCTCAGGGATTTTTCCCATTTTTTCCCATTTCCCCAGGATTTTCCCCCATTTTTCCCCCCCACCTTTCATCTCGAGCATGACGGACTCGGGCACGTCGTCGCCCTCGGCCTGGCGCCGCTCATTCCCCAGGGATTTTCCCATTTCCCAGGGATTTTCCCCATTTTTTGCCCGTTTCTCAGGGATTTTTCCCATTTTTTCCCATTTCCCCAGGATTTTTCCCCCATTTTTTCCTCCCACCTTTCATCTCCAGCATGACGGACTCGGGCACGTCGTCGCCCTCGGCCTGGCGCCGCTCATTCCCCAGGGATTTCCCCCCGTTTTTTCCCATTTTCCCCTGTTTTTTCCCATTTTTTCCCATTTCCCCGGGATTTTCCCCCATTTTTTCCCCCCACCTTTCATCTCGAGCATGACGGACTCGGGCACGTCGTCGCCCTCGGCCTGGCGCCGCTCATTCCCCAGGGATTTCCCCCCGTTTTTTCCCATTTTCCCCCCGTTTTTTCCCATTTTTTTCCCATTTTTTCCCAATTCCCCGGGATTTCCCCCCGTTTTTTCCCATTTTCCCTCCGTTTTTTCCCATTTTTTCCCATTTCCCCAGGATTTTTCCCCACCTTTCATCTCCAGCATGACGGACTCGGGCACATCGTCGCCCTCGGCCTGGCGCCGCTCATTCCCCAAGGATTTCCCCGGGGGTTTCCCCCTCGTTTCCCACGGATTTCCCTCATTTCTTCCCTCATCTTCCTGGGATTCCCCCCCTCATTCCCCATGGATTTCCCCCCCATTTTCTGCTCATCTCCCAGGGATTTTCGCCCCATTCTTCCCTTCATTTCCCAGGCATTTTCCCCCTGTTTTCTCTCATTTTTTGCTCATTTCTCAGGGATTTCCCCCCCATTTTTTGCCCGTTTCTCAGGGATTTTTCCCATTTTTTCCCATTTCCCCAGGATTTTTCCCCATTTTTCCCCACCTTTCATCTCGAGCATGACGGACTCGGGCACGTCGTCGCCCTCGGCCTGGCGCCGCTCATTCCCCAGGGATTTTCCCATTTCCCAGGGATTTTCCCCATTTTTTGCCCGTTTCTCAGGGATTTTTCCCATTTTTTCCCATTTCCCCAGGATTTTTCCCCATTTCCCCCCACCTTTCATCTCCAGCATGACGGACTCGGGCACGTCGTCGCCCTCGGCCTGGCGCCGCTCATTCCCCAGGGATTTTCCCATTCCCCAGGGATTTCCCCCCGTTTTTTCCCATTTTCCCCCCGTTTTTTCCCATTTTTCCCCCGTTTTTTCCCATTTTTCCCCACCTTTCATCTCGAGCATGACGGACTCGGGCACGTCGTCGCCCTCGGCCTGGCGCCGCTGCTGCAGCCGCTGCTCCCAGTCCGGCTCGGCCGGGACGATCACCACGACCTTCCTGGAGAAGCCCTTGAAGGCCGAGAGCTTCCGGCGCTGCCCCGAGTTGTACACGTTGCACTGGGGGGAAAATGGGGATTTTGGGGGGAAAAAGGGGATTTAAGGGGAAAAAATGGGATTTATGGGGGAAAATGGGATTTATGGGGGGAAAATGGGATTTAAGGGAAAAAATGGGATTTATGGGGAAAAATGGATTTAAGGGGAAAAAAAATGGGATTGGGGAGAAAAAATGGGGATTTGGGCTCAGGAATGGGGATTTGGGCTCAGGAATGGGGATTTTGGGATCTGGAATGGGGATTTTTGGAGGGGGGGGTTCCTGGGATTTTTTGAGGTGTTTTTCCTGGGCTTTCTGGGCTGATTTTCCCAGATTCCCGTGTTGGTTTCCTGGGCTGATTTCCCAGGCTGGTTTTCCCAGCGGGGAATGGGGGATTCGGGAATGGGGGAATTCAGGAATGGGGGAATGTGGGAATTCGGGAATGGGGGAATGGGCACAGGAAATATGGGAGGGAGGGGAGCTCCAGCCTGGGGAGCCTGGCTCTGTTTGGGCCACAGATCCCAGCATTCCCACCCCAGAATTCCAACCCATGCCATCCCATTATCCCATCCTGTCTATCCCGTTATTCCCATTATTCCCACCCCATTATCCCATCCTATCAATCCCATGATTCCCATCCATTATCCCATCATCCCATTCTATCAATCCCACTATTTCTAATCCATTATCCCATTTTATCAATCCCATTATCCCGTTATCCCATCCTATCAATCCCATTATTCCCATCCCATTATCCCATCCCATCAATCCCACAATCCCATCCATCCCATTAATCCCAGGATCCCCCATTCCCGTGGTTCCTGGTGTGGCTGACCCTGAGCTGGTGCAGGACGCGCTCGGTGCCCAGGATGTTGAAGCGCCATCCATCCCACAATCCCGTTAATCCCATAAATCCCATAAATCCCATTAATCCCATAAATCCCACCTCCCCGGCCCCCCACCTCGCACTCCTCGGTGCTCTTGGGCCCCGTTGGCGTGCGGACCCTGTCGGGGGCGGGCAGCTCGTGGATGAAGACGAAGCCGTCGGGCACGGGCGCCAGCGGCTGCGGCCGCTGCCCGAAGTTGAGCTCGACGGCGCAGCCCTTGCACAGCACGTGCGGCAGCAGCGCCCGCGCGCCCAGCGCGCCCTTGGGCACCGCGAAGGCCGTGCCCAGCGCCTGCCCGTTCTTGGAGAAGGACAGCTCCACCACCTCGGGGCCCTCGAAGTCCTGGGGGGGAAATAAATGGCAAATTTCACACCCGGAAGGAGGCGCCTGGGGGCTCCTTCCCCTTTTTTGCCTGACTTTTCCTGGTTTTTCCCCTTTTTTTCCTGATTTTTCCTGGTTTTTCCCCTTTTTTTCCTGATTTTTCCCCTTTTTTTCCTGATTTTTCCCATTATTTTCCTGATTTTTCCTGGTTTTTCCCCTTTTTTCCTGATTTTTCCCCTTTTTTTCCTGATTTTTGCACTTTTTTCCAGATTTTTCCACCTTTTTTCTGATTTTTCCCACTTTTTTCCCTGATTTTTCCCATTATTTTCCTGATTTTTCCTGGTTTTTCCCCTTTTTCCCCTTTTTTTCCCGATTTTTCCCATTATTTTCCTGATTTTTCCTGGTTTTTCCCCTTTTTTCCTGATTTTTCCCCTTTTTTTCCTGATTTTTGCACTTTTTTCCAGATTTTTCCACCTTTTTTCTGATTTTTCCCACTTTTTTCCCTGATTTTTCCCATTATTTTCCTGATTTTTCCTGGTTTTTCCCCTTTTTTTCCTGATTTTTCCTGGTTTTTCCCGGATTTTTCCCCTTTTTTTTGCAATTTTTTCCCTTTTTTTCCTGATTTTTCCACTTTTTTCCTGATTTTTCCCATTATTTTCCTCATTTTCCCCCTTTTTTCCCTGATTTTCCCCGTTTTTTCCCCCTTTTCCCTGATTTTTCACCCTTTTATCCTGATTTTCCCATTTTTCCTGAGTTTCCCACTTTTTTCCTGATTTTTCCCCTTTTTTCCTGATTTTCCCCTGAGTTTTCCCATTTTTAATCTGATTTTCTCCATTTTTTCCTGATTTTTCCCTGATTTCTCCCCTTTTTCCTGATTTTTCCCACTTTTTTCCTGATTTTTCCCCTTTTTTCCTGATTTTCCCCTGAGTTTTCCCATTTTTAATCTGATTTTCTCCATTTTTTCCTGATTTTTCCCTGATTTCTCCCCTTTTTCCTGATTTTTCCCACTTTTTTCCTGATTTTTCCCCTTTTTTCCTGATTTTCCCCTGAGTTTTCCCATTTTTAATCTGATTTTCTCCATTTTTTCCTGATTTTTCCCTGATTTCTCCCCTTTTTCCTGATTTTTCCCACTTTTTTCCTGATTTTTCCCCTTTTTCCCTCATTTTTCCAATTCTTAATCAAATTTTCCCCCCTTTTTCCTGATTTCCCCCCTTTTTTCCTGATTTTTCCCATTTTTAATCTGATTTTTCCCCTTTTTCCCTCATTTTTCCAATTCTTAATCAAATTTTCCCCCCTTTTTCCTGATTTCCCCCCTTTTTTCCTGATTTTTCCCATTTTTAATCTGATTTTCCCCCTTTTTCCCCTGATTTTCCCCTTTTTTTCCCCTACCCCTGATTTTTCCCATTTTCCCCCTTTTTCCCCTGATTTTCCCCTTTTTTTCCCCTACTTTTTCCCTTTTTATTCCTGATTTTCCCCCTTTCTCCTGATTTTCCCCATTTTCAATCTGATTTTTTACCCTTTTTCTCCTGATTTTTCTCCTCTTTCTCTCCTGATCTTCTTCAGGTTTTCCTCCTGATTTTCCCTGATTTTTCTCCAGATTTCCCCTTTTTTCCCAGATTTTCCCTTTTTCCCTCCACCTTTCCCAGGATTCTTCCCAAATTTTCCCTGATTATCTCAGAATTTCCCCCATTTCCCCCCATTTCCCCTTTTCTCCTCTTTCTCTCCTGATCTTTTTCAGGTTTTTCTCCTGATTTTCCCCCTTTTCCCAGATTTTCCCTTTTTCCCTCCACCTTTCCCAGGATTCTTCCCAAATTTTCCCTGATTATCTCAGAATTTTCCCAAATTTCCCCCAATTTTTCCCCATTTTCTCCCGTTTTTTCCCCCAATATTTTATAAAACCATTTCATAATTTGTTTTTTTCCCAGGAATTTTCCTTTTTTCCCCGTTTCCCCCTCACCGCGAAGCAGCCGATGACGTCGTTCTCCCCAAAACTTTCCCCAAATTCCTCAAATTTTCCGTTTTCCACCTTCAGCCCCCGCCCGTCGAAGCCGTAGGAAAACTCATCCTCGCCTGGGAGGGGCAGAAAGGGGAAAGTTTGGGGTTTGGGGGGGATTTGGGGTGGATTTGGGGTTTTTTCAGGTGGATTTGGAGATTTTGTTTTCCAGGAATTTTCCTTTTTTCCCCATTTCCCCCTCACCGCGAAGCAGCCGATGACGTCGTTCTCCCCAAAACTTTCCCCAAATTCCTCAAATTTTCCGTTTTCCACCTTCAGCCCCCGCCCGTCGAAGCCGTAGGAAAACTCATCCTCGCCTGGGATGGGGCAAAAGGGGAAAGTTTGGGGTTTGGGGATGGATTTTGGGGTGGATTTGGGGTTTTTTCAGGTGGATTTGGAGATTTTGGGGTGGATTTTGGGATTTTTGGGGTGGATTTTGGGGATTTGGGGATTTTGAGCTGGATTTTGGGGATTTTGGGGATTCTGGGGATGGATTTAAGGTGGATTTTGGGGATTTTGGGGTGGATTTTGGGGTGCATTTTCGGGATTTGGGGATTCTGGGGATAGATTTAGGGTGGATTTTGGGGATTTGGGGAAGGATTTGGGGATTTTTGGGGTGGATTTGGGGATTTTGGGGTGAATTTGGGGATGGATTTCAGGATTTTGGGGCGGATTTGGGGGTTTTTGGGCGGATTTTGGGATGGATTTGGGGATTTTTGGGTGGGTTTTGGGATGGATTTGGGGATTCTGAGCTGGATTTTTGGGATCCTGGGCTGGATTTTGGGGATTTGGGGATTTTGGGCTGGATTTTGGGATTTTTGGGGTGCATTTTGGGGATTTTGGGGATTCTGGGGATTCTCTGGGCGGATTTAAGGTGGATTTTGGGGATTTGGGGATTTTGGGCTGGATTTTGGGATTTTTGGGGTGGATTTGGGGGTTTTTGGGCGGATTTTGGGATGGATTTGGGGATTCTGAGCTGGATTTTTGGGATCCTGGGCTGGATTTTGGACCCTGGGCTGAATTTTTGGGATCCTGGGCTGGATTTTGGGAATCCTGGGCTGGATTTTGGGAATCCTGAGTTGGATTTTGGGATCCTGGGCTGGATTTGGGGCTGAATTTTTGGGATTCTCAGCTGGATTTTTGTGATGTTGGGCTGAATTTTGGGATTTAGGGCTGGATTGATTTTTGGGGTGGATTTGGGGATTTTGGGGTGAATTTGGGGATGGATTTCAGGATTTTGGGGTGGATTTTGGGGATTTTTGGGTGGATTTTGGGATGGATTTGGGGATTTTTGGGTGGATTTTGGGATGGATTTTGGGATTCTGAGCTGGATTTTGGGAATCCTGGGCTGGATTTGGGGCTGAATTTTTGGGATTCTCAGCTGGATTTTTGTGATGTTGGGCTGAATTTTGGGATTTAGGGCTGGATTTTTGGGATCCTGGGCTGGATTTTTGGGATTTAGGGCTGGATTTGGGGATCCTGGGCTGGATTTTGGGAATCCCGAGTTGGATTTTGGGATCCTGGGCTGGATTTGGGGCTGGAATTTTGGGATTTAGGGCTGGATTTTGGGATCCTGAGCTGGATTTTTGGGATCCTGAGCTGGATTTGGGGATCCTGGGCTGAATTTTTGGGATCCTGGATGGGTTTTTGTGCTCCTGGGCTGGATTTTGGGATTTAGGGCTGGATTTTGGGATTTAGGGCTGGATTTTGGGATTTAGGGCTGGATTTTGGGATTTAGGGCTGGATTTTGGGATTTAGGGCTGGATTTTGGGATTTAGGGCTGGATTTTTGGGATTTAGGGCTGGATTTTGGGATTTAGGGCTGAATTTTTGGGGATCCTGGGCTGGATTTTGGGATCCTGGATGGGTTTTTGTGCTCCTGGATGGGTTTTTGTGATCCTGGGCTGAATTTTTGGGATCCTGGATGGGTTTTTGTGCTCCTGGGCTGGATTTTGGGTGCATTTCGGGGCATTTTGGCCTCACCCAGCTGGGAGTGGGAGAAGTCCACGGACCAGCCCACCCTGAGCAGCGGCACCTCGGAGCTGCCCTCCTTCCCCGGGAGGTTCTGGGACACCTGAGGGGCAATTTGGGATTGGGGGCCAAAAAATGCAGGAATGGGGCAGGAAAAGGGAACAGCAGCAACACAAATCCCATTTGTTACCCTGGTTTTCCCCATTTCCCCCCATTTTCGCCCCTTTTTTCCCATTTTCCCCCCATTTTTCCCTCTTTTTGCCCTATTTTTCCCCCCTTCTCCCACATTTTCCCCCCTTTTCCCAATTTCCCCCCTTTCCCCCATTTTTCTCCCTTTTCCCCACATTTTTTCCCTCTTTTTGCCCAATTTTCCCCTTTTTCCCTACTTTCCCTTTTCCCCATTTTTCCCCCTTTTCTCCTCATTTTTCCCCTATTTTTCCCCCATTTCCTGCCCAAAACCTCCTCATTTCAGCCCAAAATGAAGCGGGTTCCACCCGGGAACGCCAGCACAGAGAAATCCCAGGGAAATTTGCATTTATTTTCAATTTTCTGGGGAAAAACAGGTAAAAACTTGAATTTATTTCAATTTTTCCATGAAAAAAGGGTTAAAATTCACATTTATTTTCATTTTCCCAGGAAAAAAGGTTAAGATTTGAATTTATTTTCATTTTCTGAGGAAAAAAGGGTAAAAATTTGAATTTATTTCCACTTTTCTGGGCAAAAAAGAATTAAAATCCAGTTTTATTTTCATTTTTCTGAAAAAAAAAGTAAAAATTTGAATTTATTTTCCACTTTTCCAGGGTAAAAAGGGTTAAAATTCAGTTTTATTTTAATTTTCCTGAGAAAAAAGGGTTAAAATTTAAACTTCTTTCCACTCTTCTGGGGTAAAAAGGGTTAAAATACAATTTATTTTCATTTTCTAAGGGGAAAAATGGTTAAAATTTGAATTCACTTTGATTTTTTCAGCTTTTCTGGAGAAAAAAGGGTTAAAATTTAAATTTATTTTCATTTTCTAAGGGAAAAAAGGGCTAAAATTCAGATTTAGCTCTATTTTTCCAAAGAAAAAAGGTGAAAAGTTGAATTTATTTTCATTTTTCCTATTTTTCCTGGACAAAAAAGGGTCAAAATTGGGATTTATTTCAATTTTCCTGGGGAAAAAAAGGGTTAAATTTTGATTTTTTTTCCCTTGAATTAAAGCAAAATATTCAATGAAAATCTTGAAGCTTGAATGTATTTTTCCAGACTTTAAAGATTGAAATGTGATTAAAATTCAAATTTTTTTCTTTAAAAATCCCCTAAATCAAAACATTCCATGGAATCCCCAGAGTTTTGCTGAATTTTCTGGGTTTTATAATGAAAAAAGAGTTAAAAATTCAATTTTTTCCTCAAAAATTACTTCAAAAAATGTCAAATTCCCCTGGGATTTTTCAGTAAAAAGGAAAAATTCCAGACCAAGATCCTTTGGTTCACTAAAAACTGGAAAATCCAAATTAAAAATGAATAAATCCAACAGGAAAATCCAAGGAAACACCAAAAAAAATCCCAATTTTCCCTTCGTTTGGCCAAAAAAATTCCTGAAAATTCAACATTTGGAAATATTTTCATAAAATCCAAGTTCTTGTATTTTTGGAAAGTTCAATAATGGAAATTTTCCAGCTTTCATCCCAAAAAAAAAAAAAAATCAAAATTTGGGACAAAAATGGGGATGATTTCACTTTAATCCCAATAAAATTCTGTTCCAGGGTGATCCAAGCTCCACAAATCTTCCCAAAATCAGAATTTTTCAGTCAAAAATCAGAATTTTTCCCTCAAAAATTACATTTTTTTCCTTCAAAATGTAAAATTTTCCCTCAAATTCCTGGATTTTCCAATCAAAAATCAACATTCTTCAATAAAAACCTGGATTTGCTCCTCAAAAAATCCAGATTTTCTCCTCAAAAATCACAATTTGCCTTTAAAAATTCAGATTTTCCCCTCAAAAATTCCAAACTTTTCCTGAACCCAAAGATTTCTCCTTAAAACAAATCCCCCAGTTCCCCAACATCTTTCTCCTGGATTATTTCACAAAATTCAAAATTTTTTCCCTCAAAACCGAGAATTTTCCCTCAGAAATCCACAAAAATCAGGACTTTTCCCTCCAAAATGTACAAAAACCAGGATTTTCCCCTCAAAAATTCACAAAAATCAGGACTTTTTCCTCAGAAATGCACAAAAATTAATATTTTTCCCTCAGAAATCCACAAAAATCAGATTTTTCCCATCAGAAATCCACAAAAATCAGGATTTTCCCCTCAGAAATTCACAAAAATCAGGACTTTTCCCTCAGAAATCTACAAAAATCAGGATTTTTCCATCCAAAATGCACAAAAATCAGGACTTTCCCCTCAGAAATCCACAAAAATCAGGACTTTTCCCTCCAAAATGTACAAAAATCAGGATTTTCCCCTCAAAAATTCACAAAAATCAGGACTTTTTCCTCAAAAATTCACAAAAATCAGGACTTTTTCCTCAGAAATGCACAAAAATTAAAATTTTCCCCTCAGAAATCCACAAAACCAGGATTTTTCCCTCCAAAATGCACAAAAATCAGGATTTTCCCCTCAGAAATTCACAAAAATCAGGACTTTTCCCTCAGAAATCTACAAAAATCAGGATTTTTCCATCCAAAATGCACAAAAATCAGGACTTTCCCCTCAGAAATCCACAAAAATCAGGAATTTTTCCCCTCCGCCTCAGAAATCCCCAAAAATCAGGACTTTTCCCTCCAAAATGTACAAAAATCAGGATTTTCCCCTCAAAAATTCACAAAAATCAGGACTTTTTCCTCAGAAATACACAAAAATTAATATTTTTCCCTCAGAAATCCACAAAAATCAGATTTTTCCCATCAGAAATCCACAAAAATCAGGATTTTCCCCTCAGAAATCCACAAAAATCAGGATTTTCCCCTCAGAAATTCACAAAAATCAGGACTTTTCCCTCAGAAATCTACAAAAATCAGGATTTTTCCATCCAAAATGCACAAAAATCAGGACTTTCCCCTCAGAAATCCACAAAAATCAGGATTTTTTCCCCTCCAAACCTCACAAAAATCAGGAATTTTTCCCCTCCAAACCTCACAAAAATCCGGATTTTTTTCCCTCCAAAACCCTTCCCAAATTCCTCCCCTACAAACCCAAATTTTTCCCGACTTTTCCCTCCCGTTTTCCCCAAAACCCAACTCGGAATTCATTAATTCCATCAACTCCACTGATTTCCCCTCACCCGCGGCTCCACAAAAATCCCTCGGAATTCAAATTTTTCCCGCTTTTTTCCCCCCCCCAAATCCCGGCTTTCCCTGTGGGGAATTTTGGGGATTTTATCGCGATTTTATCCCGATTTTATCTCGATTTTATCCCTCAAAACTCTGGCAACGGGGACAAGGCCGAGGTTGGGATTTTGAGGGAAAAACGGGAATTTTATGAGGGGTCCCTCACGAGGCCCCGGGGCCTTTCCCGGTTTTTTCTCCCGGTTTTTGGGGATTTTTTTCCCCGAGCACCCCAAGGTTCCTTTCCCGATCCCCTCACGAGCTTTTCGGGGTTCCTTTCCCGGTTCCCTCACGAGATTTTTGGGGTTCCTTTCCCGGTTCTGAAGATCCCGTTCCCGGTGTTCCTTTCCCGGTTCCCCTCACGGTCCCGGGGATCCCCCCCGACGATTTCGGGGCTCTTTTCCCGGTTTTAGGGATCCCGTTCCCGGCTCCGGGGGTTCCTTTCCCGAGGTTTTCGGGGTTTCTTTCCCGGTTTTAGGGATCCCGTTCCCGGTTCCCTCCCGAGATTTTCGGGGTTTCTTTCCCGGTTTCAGGGATCCCGTTCCCGGGGTTCTTTTCCCGAAGTTCCCGGGGTTCCTCTCCCGGTTCCCCTCCCGGTCCCGGGGTTCCCTTCCCGAGGGTCCCGGGGATCTCCCCCGACGATTTCGGGGCTCTTTTCCCGGTTTTAGGGATCCGGTTCTGGGGGTTCCTTTCCCGATGCCTTCCCGAGGCTCCCGGGGTTCCATTCCCGGTTCCTGGGTTTCCTCTCCCGGTTCCCCCCCGGTCCCGGGGTTCCATTCCCGAGGCTCCGGTGGTTCCATTCCCGTCGGGGCTCTTTTCCCGGTTTTAAGGATCCGGTTCTGGGGGTTCCTTTCCCGATGCCTTCCCGAGGCTCCCGGGGTTCCATTCCCGGTTCCTGGGTTTCCTCTCCCGGTTCCCCCCCGGTCCCGGGGTTCCCTTCCCGAGGGTCCCGGGGATCTCCCCCGACGATTTCGGGGCTCTTTTCCCGGTTTTAGGGATCCCGTTCCCGGGGTTCTTTTCCCGAAGTTCCCGGGGTTCCTCTCCCGGTTCCCCTCCCGGTCCCGGGGTTCCCTTCCCGAGGGTCCCGGGGATCTCCCCCGACGATTTCGGGGCTCTTTTCCCGGTTTTAAGGATCCGGTTCTGGGGGTTCCTTTCCCGATGCCTTCCCGAGGCTCCCGGGGTTCCATTCCCGGTTCCTGGGTTTCCTCTCCCGGTTCCCCCCCGGTCCCGGGGTTCCATTCCCGAGGCTCCGGTGGTTCCATTCCCGGTTCCCGGGGTTCCTTTCCCGGTTCCCCTCCGGGTCCCGGGTTCCTTTCCCGGTTCCCGGGTTCTTCTCCCGGTTCCCCCCGGTCCCGGCTCTCCCCCATCGCTCACCCGCCGCCGCCTCCTCCTCCTTGGCCTCGGCCGCGGCCGCTTCATCCCCGCTGGGCGCCTCCTCCGGCGGCCGCTCGGCCCCGTTCACGCCGCCGCCGCCGCCTTCTCCCTCGGCCGCCTCAGGCTGGGCCGCGGCCGCCGCTCCCTGCTCCTCCTGCGGCGGCTGCAGCGGCTCCGACCCCGCGGGCTCGGCCGGGGCCGCCTCCTCTTCCTCCTCCTCCTCCTCCTCCTCCCCGGGGGGGCCGGGCTGGGCCGGGGCCGCCTCGGGGGCCGCGGCGGCGGCGGCGGCGGCTTCGTCCTCATCGGCGAGCAGCGCTTCCTCGTCCTCCTCCTCCTCCTCTTCCTCCTCCTCCTCCTCTTCCTCCTCCTCCTCCTCCTCATCCCCTCCGTGGGGCCGCCCAGGACAGGGGGGACCCCAAAATCCCCCCCCCCAGCAAATGGAGACCCCAAATCTCCTCCAGGAAAGGGGGGACCCCAAATCCCCCCCAAATCCCGGGGGGCCCCAAGGTTTGGGGTGACCCCCCCAGAGCGGGGTCCCCTCGGTGTCCCCGGGCACTGAGGGTGACACAAAGTGACAGGAGTGACAATCCTGGGGGAGACCCCCCCAAAATCCCCTCCAGAGAGGTGGGGGGGGCTCCACGCTTTATTCTGGGGGTGACAGGGGACAGATTGGGCCAGTTTGGGACAGTTTGGGGACAATTTGGGACAGTTTGGGGACAGTTTGGGACAGTTTGGGGCAGTTTGGGACAGTTTGGGGACAGTTTGGGGACGACGGCGCTGTCCCCATGGCCGTGCTGCAGGGGGCAGGAGGGGACACGGGGGGACATTATTTGACACCGGGTGACATTGGGTGACTGCAGGTGCCAGGAGGTGCCACCGCCGCCGTGTCCCCTCCATGTCCCCGCTGTCTCTGGGCTGTGTCCAGGCCATGTCCTGGTGTCCCCTCAGTGTCCCCGTGGTGTCCCCAATGTCCCCTAGAAGCAGAAGGCTCCCAGAGCTGTCCCGGTGTCCTCTCGGTGTCCCCGTGGTGTCCCCGTGGTGTCCCCAGTGTCACCCCAATGTCCCCGGTGTCCCTAGAAGCGGAATGCTCCCATGGTGACATCGAACAGCAGCGGTTCCCGGATCTGTCCCGGTGTCCCCTCGCTGTCCCCAGTGTCCCTAGAAGCAGAAGGCTCCCAGAGTTGTCCCGGCGTCCCTGTGATGCCCTCACTGTCCCGGTGTCGCTTCGGTGGCACCTCGGTGTCCCCAATGTCCCCTAGAAGCGGAAGGCTCCCACGGTGACGTCGAACAGCAGCGGCTCCCGCACCGTCCCCGCCGTGTCCACGAGGAAGAAGAGCGGGCGGCCGCGCACGCGGAGGGGCAGCAGGCGGGCCTGGCCCCGGTGGGCGCGGGCGGACACGTCGCGCAGCGGCACCGTGAGC